TATTGGCCATTTCGACGTTGCGCAGGGGACTGGGCACTAATCAAAGAAATATTGATCTATTCACGAAACAAACCCCACCAGTTGAAAGGACACCCAAAAATTAGTATATATACCAAGTTTCAAAACGTTTGGATAAAAACTAGCTGAACAGTATTTATTTCTAGTTTCATCAAATTAACAGAGAATGTATTGTTTTGGGGGACGCGGTCAAAATCCCCATACATTCTCTGTAAATTGCACGGCTTCTCATTAATTGAATATTTGTCCAAATGATCTGTAACTTGGAACCTACACTAAAGTCGATAAAGTCTTTTTAGTGATATGGTTAGTTTTTCGATTGGCTCAATATGACAGAAATTACAATTCATTTTTTAACATAAAAATGGCTAATATGTATCACTGCTTTGCATCAACAAAGCTGAAGAGAAAATATTTAATAATTATTTAATGTAGTGTAATGGAATTTTTTTGTTAGAAAAATAAATTAGTCTTGACAAAACATGTACTAAAAATGTGGCCAATGTGTCTTGCATCCCATCTTTATCCAACATGCATATCTTTTGGGAGCTCCGCTATTAGGTTTTACCTAATTTTTATATTACGGCATTGTTTGTGTTATGTTGTTCTTGGTTGAAGACCTCAAATCATCAAGCATAGTAATAATTGAGAGCTGAAAATGTAAATAAAACAAAATAACGTCCTCTTTCATGATTTTGTATATTAAATCATAAGATTTAATAAGAAGAAGACGTCACTTCATTTGCATTTTCTAAGTTTCAATTGCTCATGACTTAGAAAATACAATTTGATATCAAATTCTTTCTTCACAGATGTACTTAGTAGAGAATGAATTTCTAATGGTGTTATCTGCACTTTAAGGGTGTACTGACGTATCCGTTTCTAGACGACCTGGTTGCTATGCTAGCCGATGCTAGCCAATCGGAGAAGCGAGCGCGCGCGCGTTTTCATGGCGGGAAATTTTTTACTTCCGGTGGAAAGGTTTTGGTTTACATAAAATGTATGGTATCATTTAAAAAATATAATCTCCAGTTCGAAATATCAAATGGACGTGTTTTTTCAATATTTATGTTCCTCACAGCCTCTTCTTCAGAACCAAGCATGGGTTTGGCGAAAAATTAAAAAATGCGAAAGTTATTGGCATTTTTCGCTTATTTGTGGCATACAATGACGTCATGGAATGTGTTATTTTTGTTTGGGAAGCCTTAATACTCAATACGAAAGAGATTTTACTTTTGTTTGTCATTTTAGAGAACTACTGAATTTCCCTAGCAATGGATATGTCAGTACACCCTTAAAAGGACGCTCAATTAAAGTGAGAAGTATAACTTACAATAGTAAATAATTTAAACAACCGAATAATCTTTATGACATAAAGTGAGAAGTTATTAAAGTGCTCTGTTACTACTTAAAATCTGACAATTTCTATGCGAAGAAAATTGCAAACAGTTTATTTTTGGCCAGTTTATACAAACAATAACAGCGTGTGCAGCAATTGTTGAATATATTAAAAAAATATATATTTATATTTATAATGCCTTACAAATACATTTTGAGTTGCAAGTTTCATTCGTTGTTGCAATTACCGAGCTCGTTTGCTGGTCTGGGAAAATAATCACACACACAATATGGAGTTAATGGCTATGAGGAATAACCCTCAAAGCCATATTTAATATTTAACAAAATTCACTTAATATTTAACTGAAATTGATTACATGGTAAAATAAAATTAGACCAGTAAAGGTGTGGGCACAAAAAAGGG